AAACGGCGAATACATTATTAGTTGATTTATTGCTAAAACCATTGATTTTTGTTTAAGTAAAAATTTTTGGGGAAAAAAAAACGCTACGAACTTATTCCCCAAGCTAATATTAAGAAATTGTTGGGATTACGAAATACTCTGCTTTAGAGCTGTTTGGAGATAATTTTGGTCATGGCTCGAGGTTGCAGACCTAGTTTTAAGACATGATGTCAGAGGTCTAAAATCATGAAAGATGAAGAAATTATGACGATATGTGATTGTCTGTGCTGATGACAAGCGAAAAAAATTCGTCAAAAAATGTGTTTCAATATTAAAAAAATGTCCAATATTATTAAAATATAATTCTAGGCATTTTACGTTCACAAATTAGTCTCCTGTATTAATGTTCTCTCCCTGTTCTGAAAGGTTTCGTGAATTCTTTCTCATCACTATTAAAAATGTGCAGCTCAGTGATTGAAGAAAAATCGCTGTCGGAAAAAAGCCTCCCTAAAATATGAAAGTGGGCAAACTTTGCTTCGAAGATTTTCAAAAAAAAAAATTTGAGTGTAAAACTTCAATTACTTTTGATTCACCCTTATATATTATAGGTGGGGGGTTAATGTTGGTTGCAATGCTAAATGTACAATAAACTAAAGTAAAGGCTATGAAATGCCAAAGGGACAGTATAGGAATGCGTCAATAAGCTCTCGCACCAAATTCGCGCAAACAGTATTAGTTACAACTGAACAAAGAGCATTGGCGTTATGTAAAATATGTTATGTGGGACATTATTTGTTATATCATAATAATTGCGCCCCGATAACCGAAACGCGTTGCACCGCTTTGCAGTAAAGTAAGCAGTCTGTGGAGTGACGTTTTAAGGATCAGAAGAATGGGCTATATGTCCCAGATTTAGTGAGTCCTTCTTGCTCTTATCGAAAATTTTCAACTAGGCTGACATCTATGATTAAACATTAGAGGGTTATTGAGATCGAGGTTAAGTTGGCTAAACGGCGCATTAGTTGTCGAAGCTATAATGAGATTGAAATTACGTCATTTGGACCTGGATAGAAAGAAAGTTTGAAATTTTTAGGGGCGAGCTTCAAGGAAACAGCCCGTTTCCTCGGAATTCTTATGCAACTTGGCCACATATTAATTGCTTTTTTTATAAATTCCACTATTTAGGGATGTATAAGAGTCCCATTAGTTCGTATTGTATTATGTTACGCAACAGAAGGCGAAGAGCGAACTCTGGCTCGACTCATTGGGCTTTATCGGAATTTCCAGCAGAAAATTGTCAAAAATGATTTATTTTGAAAATTTCGTCAAAAAATGTTTTACATTCAAACCAGAAATTCAAAAATCTCCCTTTTATTGATGTTTTTGATAATTTTCGTTAAAAAAAAACCTCACCTGGCAAAGCTCATCCTTAGAAGCGTTACTTCAATAGTTTTTCTGGAAAGTAGGCTTTAGTTCAAATTTGACCAGACAATATCACTAAAATCGTCATATTTCAGTTGTTAAGCTTTCGCGGCTATTGAGGCTTTGTTTGTTAGAACATGTTGGTCATTTTCTTTCAAGTTGTCTTTCATTTGTTTCACCAAGAAATGAAAAGACTGCGCTCAGCACTGTCCTTGCTGTTCTACCAAAATGTGCTTTGGACACACCGCCATCAAAGAGCTAGAACTTTGCTCATGCTTTCCTGGAAGGGTAAAAGCAAATTACACATTGTTGAGATCTTCGACACATTTCTTTGACAGATAAAACTAGCAAAACCTTTTCCTGTAAAAAGTAGTAAATGACGTCAGAACTCCCCTCTCACTTATGAGTGATTTGAATGCATCATCGTCAACTACGATATTTTTATAGATTAGCCATGCCTACCTACACACAAAACACGAGACATCTCGTTACCGTAAAGTCAGATTATGCTAGTGTCGCGTATTGCAGCTCAAAAACCGATCGGATGATGTAATGAAAACTATTAAAACATTTTTTAGCTCTATCCCTACTTACTTTCACCTTCTCGAA